TGCTTACTCCGCTAGCAGCTACCGGAGTAAGCAGAGTAGCAGTTTCCCGTGCCGGCGTATTATGGCGGCACGGGAAAATAATCATCATCGAGTCAAGCTTGCGACTGCCTGCATTCGATGGCGCTGGTAAGAGGGCAACCAGCTGTGAGCGCAAAGCATTCGTCAAATTTTGCTTTTGATTTTTCGGCGGACTTTCTGACAGCGAATCACTCAATGCTTGGGGTGTGACCGGAGCGATGATATGCACAGATATGGCGTCCAGCTTCAAATGTTTTTTTTTTGTACGTGGAAGGTGTAACTCTACATACATGATGGTGTTCTGGCAACACCAACGGCCGACAATGTAGATCCCTCATGGGCCAACATGGCCTTTTTGTGTCACCCCTCAACTGTGCATAACAAGAAACGGCCAAATAGCAATGCGTGCAACCCATCCCCCTCTCCCCTGAGAAGAGGAAGCAGTGCAACATTAAGTACCTGGTACGCTGTAACTGCACCCAGCACGCTTAGACACTAGTTGAAATCATCATAACCAGTGAACATGCGACTCAAGCTATGGCCTTTACTTTGCGCTCGTTAGAGCTTATATTGGCACCAAAAGTCTTTAATTTCACGCCATACTCAGGTGGGGGATTAATTTCTCTTCCCCGCCCGAAATATTTCTCCGCAATGATTTTCTGAATGGCGCTGAGCAGCAGGGCAAAACTTTGCATAGCTACAGGCGAGCAAATAGGGCATTTTTGGCATGTAAAGTTAGACAAAACCTTCTAGGGTCCTCTGCCGTACCTAGCAGGCAAAGGCAGGTCACGGTTGTAGCGAGGGCAATTTTTAGGAAATATTCAATTTGATGCCACAGTGGGGCGCTAGACAAAGTCATACATCTTTGACAGATGAAGACATGCAACAACAGGATTAGCAATCCAACTAGGTCATGATGAGGGTCAGACAAGATAGACCAAAGGTTCCTTGTAAGTTCTGTCTATTTAAAGTATTTATGTACCACGCCAACATTGTTGCATGTTTAAGGTTAGTAACAACTATGACCGGTGCGTAGTCCGGTTATGGGCCTGAGCTTGCTCAAATACCAAAAAATAAAAGCAATTTCGTGTGATTTTGGTCACCATGACCCTCTAAATGTCAAAAAGGTCACTGACTTTAAATGAAAACCAGTGATCTTTTGGTTTCAACGGGTATCTAGGTTCAAGGCGATTGCGTGAGGGGGTCTGGGGGCACTTTGGGCATTACTGTGGAGTTCGACCCTATTTGACTTTATTTGACCCGAATTTTATGACCTAGTCATCTCAACTGACCCAAGTGAGTTAACATACAGTCCAATCCGCCCTGTGAATTTGGTGCATTACTCTCTTACTCTTACTCTCTAAACTCTCTTAGCTTCTTTAGATCTCAGGGTGGCCAAACTGACCACCAACTGAGCGAATGGTATACAATCGGTCACCCGAGCGCGTGTGAAATTTACTGGACGGACGGATGATACGCGTTTTTCTCCGTGGACGCTGTCCGTCGCATGCACCACAGCGTCGCATGTCCACGTAAAACGAGGCTTGTTAGGCCCAGAGCGCGCGAATGCAGAGCCGAGACGTGCTCCGTCTCAAACGAGAGTTGACGAAGAGTAGACGCAATTGTTTAAGTTTTCACCGTGGGCTCCCTCATAGCATAACTAATGAGGATAGGACTAAGATGTCTCCAGACAGCGATAACCTTCAGTGACATATGTAGTGTTAAAGGGTTGGAGAACACTTCTTTGTGTATTGGTTAACGAGGTCTGAAGGAACCCTTTTCATATGAGACACCCCTACCCTAACCTTGGGCAAATTTAATCATGTGGTAGGGAATTTATGCTTGTTTTGTTTGTGTTTTTTTGTCGTAGGGGGCGTAGCGTCGCAATCAAGTTGGGTGCGCTACGGTATGTGAGCAAACACGTTCGCCTGTGCTATTCTGTCGTTCGTCGTGACTGTAACGTGATCAATTTTCGTCACTTTCATCAGTCAGTGTTTGCCTTGAAAAACTGCCACCTCCGTTTCGGTTGCCAAGGTAGAAATCATTGATCTACGTAAATTGTGTAAATGTCGACTTGTCATTCAGTCGCTTCGACAGACAAGAGGAAATCACGTCAGTCAACCATTGACGGTAAATGATATAATTGTCAGTGCATTATGTCAATGATACATGGCCCGTGCACGGCTGGTGCAACATGTACAGTCCAACGTCTTGGAAGGAAGTTAGCGCACCCGTGGGCTACAGCACAACAATTGAAAAGAAAGACAGTACGTGGCCCACGTACCTAGTCCTCTGGCTATTGAATTGCCTGGCAAGACCATTGAAAGAACTCTAGGGCCTGGGAGACTTTGGGAAAGTTTATTAAGATATTAGCATATTGGCTTTGTTCTTGATACCTTTCAATAAGGAAATGCACTGTGCACTCCACGCCCAAAGTAAACGGGCAATGGAGCCCTGCATTCGTCATTAGCCACGAGCCCATGACAAAGTGGTTAGCCGGTTACCCGCCAGTCACCGGGTCTGCTAGCCGCAGGTCCCCGGGTCGGCTAGCCGCAGGTCCCCGGATCGGCTAGCCGCAGGTCCCCGGGTCGGCTAGCCGCAGGTCCCTGGGTCGGCTAGCCGCAGGTTCCTGGATCGGCTAGCCGCAGGTCCCCGGGTCGGCTAGCCGCCAGCCACCGAGTCGGCTAGCCGCCAGCCATTGGGTCGGCTAGCCGCAGGTCACTGGGTCGGCTGGCCGCAGGTCACTGGGTCGGCTGGCCGCAGGTCTCCGGGTCGGCCAGCCGCAGGTCCCCGGGCAGGCTTGCCGCCAGTCACCGGGTCGGCTAGCCGCCGACCTGAAAACCGGCCAGCCGCAACCAGCTTTCATTCATTTACGCATCACAAAACGTCAGTTCGGTAAGGCATTAGTGTATCATTTCAGTGACATTTTTTTTCTGACTACGTAACTATAACACGTAAACGGAGTACTGCTGCCGAATTTTCTTATAAGAACATTGCTTTTCGTTTTTTTTAACAACGCAAGGTTCTACACAACCAGCGTGAACTGGTGCTTCGGCAAGATCGTAAATATGATGAAGGCAGAAGTATGGATAATAGCTCTGAAACAAATTTAGCGAATGTAAGTAGTATTCTGGGAACATTTGTTAGCGCAACATTTACCAGAAGTAGCTATTTGATACCATTTTGCTTCATTAAGAAAATTGCTCCCAGCGTTGCAATGACTTAAGCACGACTGAATTGTGTGAAGGTGTTATTCATATCCAAATATCATCAGTTATTTGAATGACGCACACACACACACACACACACACACACACACACACACACACACACACACACACACACACACACACACACACACACACACACACACACACACCACACACACACACACACACACACACACACACACACACACACACACACACACACACACACACACACACACACACACACACACACACACACACACACACACACACACACACACACACACACACACACACACACACACACACACACACACACACACACACACACACACACACACACACACACACACACACACACACACACTACACTTACCGGTAGGGCCTTTCTCGGAACAATATATAAACGGTTCCGAGCATGGTACTGCAATTTTGGGAGCGCCTGTGGTTATATCAGCTCTACGCAGGTTTCTATGTTTTAAGTTATTGACATTGACGGTTTATGATCTATGACCTCTATCTCGATCTCATGTCGGTGACATTTCACGCAAAAGTGATAAATAGCGCTCAAATAACACCCACATCAGGAAAAGCACTCTCAATATGATTTCTAGACCTCTCTCCTAATGTACATCACTCTGAATTGTATAATCATCGTTGTGGTGTTTTGCAAAGGCAGGTTATCTAATGCCAAGCTTGGCAACTTTTTAACAAGAGCATGTGATTTAAACCTTAATGACACAAATCCTACGACTCCGGCAGAACCATCTACCGGTGTTTCCTTCCTTGATACGGCTTGTTTAGCGCCTAATATGGCTAAAAGGACCAGGGCTATAATTGCCTTCACTCTTTTGACCTGATATGACATATCGCAGATCGCATGGGACGATATTCACTAGTATCAAGATGATAGAGTTTTCTAAGAACTGTTATAAGATGCGATCGCTAGTTGTGAGGATGTTTGTTCTTCCGTTTTTACGGATTTTATGTCTTCTGCCGGGTAGGTGCATGCTATTTTTCCGCCATTGATGGTGGACCCTGTCCGCGCCGTTACCTGTCAGAAAAGCGAAGGCCGAGCCGGGCCACACCGGGTCACTCACGTTTGAGATTTATCACCTCTTTTGTTCGACTAGCACTCACCGAAACCACAGATGCGATGGTTAAATATCTCTACGGCTTACGCACGCAGGACATCTCCCAGGGGGGCTGTGCATTGCTCTGCTGTGCATATGACACAGGGGGGCTGTGCATTGCTCAACATCTGCCCGGCCGGCCGGGCACCGCTGGCAGCCGTAATCAGGCGCAACACGCCGTCACGTTCATCACCGACGCGCCGAGCCTCTGGCGCTCGTCCGTTCAGCATCTGCCCAGCCTGCTCGGTCAGGTCTGCCGGACACCGCAGCCATGACCGGGCGCCACACCCGGTGCGTTCACCACCGATGCACGAGCCTCCAGCGCTCGTCAGTTCTGCCGGCTGCCGCGCCTCACCGCAGAGATGTGCCGCGGGCGACTGACCTCGAAAGCGAGGCCCCGGAGCAGACCACAGAGATGTGCCGCGGGCGACTGACCTCGGAGACGAGGCCTCGGAGCAGACCGCAGGACGGCCCGCTCTGAGGGGACCGGCCGCAGGACGGGGAGTCGCCGGGACGCCCGTGGCCGGGGGTGAAAGGTCCTCCCCAGTGGCCGGCCGGTCACGGTTGGCTGCCCCGAGGCTAAAACAGGCGGCGGCGGCGAGCCCGGCTCAGTTCGCACCGCCCGCTGCGCTCGGACACCATGGGTGATCGGTGGGTTCAGCGGAGGGCCCCGCTAGCTCTGTTTGGGGCGCTGCTGCTGCTCTCTGGGCACCGGGTCAGGTACGTACAAACCTCCGGCGTACGCTTTGTGGCGATGAGCTCCACAAGGCGAAACTTGAACTCATATTGTGCTCTTCAGTCACATCACGCGTTTGACAGGTCTGAGCCACATAGATGGTTTGGTAGGCGTTGGTGAATTAGTTAGATGATTAATGAGAGAAGAGTTGGTGTACTAATTTCATTATAGATTCGCCGATGTCCACACCTGCAAATAACAATGTGCGTTTTCTTGGTGCGCTGTATGCAGCTGATCTTTGTGAACCTTTTTCAGATTTCCCAGTGGTCAATTAAAAGATATGGAAAGCCTTTGAATGTGTAAACGGTTTGAATGAGTTTAGTTTCATTTCATATAATAGGAATTGTTTGAAGCATTGCGAGAATCTTTAGCACATGTTTGTCATAAAAGACATTCTTGAGATGCCTTAACAGACCGAGACTACCACCTAGACCCTGGCATGGGCGTAGGAGCAGGGGGCCCTCGCGAGGGATGGTCTACCGACTTCTTGCGGATGCTTTTTTATTAACTTACTGTTAACTGGTTGGGGAGAAATTCCTTAAATGACCTTTAATTGATCCATTTCTCGGGGTTGGGAGTTAATACGGCCTATGGGTACGAAAGCGTTTTCTGTTATTGATCACTTATTTGCGTTCAACACATACGTGTTTATGAACAGCTTTTTAGACAAATAATCCGTGACGAACTTGACTGTTGCCACATACGATAATTCGGGAGATTCTTGAAGACAGACACGAAACGTTCAGCTGAGGTGTTCTTGAACGGTTGTGCGGGAGCACCCCATATACATCGCATCTGTAAACGCATCGCATCTCTTCGTGCTTGCTTGTAAACTCGTTATGTTTTAATGTACGAGTCATGCAAGCGTAAAGAAGAAAGCATGATGTCATGATCACAGGTTTGTTCATACGAAACATGGTAAAGCCATTGTACTGACTTAATGGAATGCAAAATTGGCCTCTTCGTTTTGCGGTACTGAAAGCTCCAACCCAAAATGTGCATCGAACTCATAGTGCAAGTCGAAATAGCCACAATGGTCCAGATGCCAACGATCCGAACAACATAGGCCTCCATTGAACAGTGGGCTCAGATAACCGAGGTCACTGTCACGTTTGCCACACATACGAAGTACGAGATGGCAAACGCACGTATGGCGTGCGAGGAGGCCCGTGTGTGAACAAGCTCGCACACAAATAGACAAACATATGATTGTTTCGTATAAAGATTGTGGCTAAGGCTAATGGTGGTATGGGAAAAGTGTGCCCCGCGTCGACCCACTTGAACTAGCTGTTTGGGCCGAAGAAACGCTCACGATGTCAGTGGAGAGACAGTCCTGGTGAAAAATGGAGATCGCGGAACTAGGAAAATGGAGATTGCGTCACTAGGGCGCTCTTAATAGTCGCCTTATAGCAAACGGCAATAACTGATATACAGTTCACTTCGTTAAGGTATTCGCTCTCCCCCCCCCCAAGCGAACAGGTCACGTGTTTTGAGTTCGATGACGGACGTAGTGCAAAGGCGAGCCGCCAGCCGCCTACGTGCGTTTGTTCCGACGCCACCGGCTGTAGCAGTGATGTGCTCCAGTACCAACAACTAGCATCAGCAAAAGCAAGCACGATCAGTCATAGATATTTACGTGTTTGCCAGGCATTGCGCGAGGACAACTGCCGTCTAAAATGAGTGCTGCCGATGTTTTTCCTTTCACCAATGGATGATTAAACTATGGAAACAAGCTTATTCAACTCAGGATGCAAAATTAGCCTCAACCAGGCTTTCGAAGAAAGGAGTTTTTGACTGCGAAGTTGGTACGCAAGAAATTGTCTATGCGCAGAAACGTAATGCGAAGTCATAAATGCAAATGCAGTATAGACGTAATACTACAGAGCTCCGTCATGGGCCGCTCACTAAAAAAGGCAACATAAAGAAGGCAAAAGGCTCACTAAATAAGGCAAATGAAAAAAGGCAAAAGGCTCACTAAAAAGGGCAAAACAAAAAATACAAATGTGCTGTTGTTAATGCTGGAACTCTGTACTGTTGACCTTTAGGGAACACAAAGCTCGAAACCTACCTCGGCTGTGAACACGAAATGAAAACAAATGATTTGGTAACTAAGCATTTAGCGCACAGGTGGTTCATATCTCCACCCGTTCCGCATGATGCATCCGGTGTTGGAGAGGCTTGGCTTTTTGACATGCCAATGATAATCTTGGCATACACTTATATGGATATAACTAAGTGCTGGCAGTTAAAATTCTAAGGTAGACACGCAACAAATATGAAGATTGAGAGCATGTAATGTTGTTTGACGGCATACAAGATTTGTGCGCTACTGCGATGCGCTAAACTTGGTTTCTAGGGCAGTATTTTTAAGTTGTGCCATGCCCATTGTGCAATCCTGCAAACACCACTGATCATACTGCAGCGCAGGCACTGTCTAGGCTCAGCCAAATGACTGTCATGCTGCCTAGGAAGAAAACCGTCATGTGCTGTCCGATTCTTACTGCAATTTTCCTCATATCGGCGAGATCCGTTGTGATATACTTATTGTATCTGGTCAAGCCAAAAAGCAAGCTTATGAAAAAATATCTTTTAAAAATAGAAACTGATCTGACGGTAATTGTATGTGATATACAGGCGTTCTTCGAACGCATAATATGCCAAGTTTGTCTCTTGATTCGACGAATCGTTTTGGGCATCGTACGAGATGTATGAGAAAACTACCTTGTGTTGATCGTAGGTGTCCAGTACTATATTGCACATAAACCACGTATGGATGATGCGGTACGCCGTCATTTGTGCATATCAGCATGTTTTTAGTTCGATGACTCACAATTTCTGTCGAGACTTGTCTATCGCGTGTTCTGTGTTCTGTTCTCAGACATGCTCTGTCGAGCCGAGGTAAGTCTATCAAACCACCAGCATTTGATTGCATATTTGAAGCAATTTAGTGGGCCGAGTTTAAACACAGGTGTACAGTAACTCTCACAATAGGGGCTTTTGAGGACAAATGGCGGATGACTTGCACGCTCCCATAGAACAAGGTCACCACTGTTATCAGGCCGGCGCGCCGATAAACCCCCGATCACTGACAGGCGCGCCGGTAACCTCCCGACCACAGACAGGCGCATCGGCAAACCCCCAACCACGGACAGGCGCGCCGGTAAACCCCCGATCACTGACAGGCGCGCCGGTAAACCCTTGATCACTGACAAGCGCGTCGGCAAACCCCCGACCACGGACAGGCGCTCCGGTAACCTCCCGACCACAGACAGGCGCGTCGGTAAAGCCTTGATCACTGACAGGCGCGTCGGCAAACCTCCAACCACGGACAGGCGCGCCGGTAAACCCTTGATCATTGACAGGCGCGCCGGTAAACCCCCGATCACTGACAGGCGCACCGGCGAACCCCCGATCACTGAACGGCGCACCAGTAACCCCCGACCACGGACAGGCGCGCCGGTAAGTCCTTCATCACTGACAGGCGCGCCGGTAAACCCCCGATCGCTGACAGGCGCACCAGTAAACCCTCCATTATCGACGTTAAATTTGCTGATTTGCAGCGGTGCCACGGACAAGGACAGCAGGTCCGCGGTTCGTTAAAGACATCGTTGATAAGATGCGGTTTCACATACCATTTCACAACGCACCTTCTTCGCCTTGATTTTTTTCGGAGCATATTCTAACTAAAGGCATTCGTGCAATGGTGGCGTTTATCAAGCCTGGCTGTGTTCGGTTTGCTGTAAATTATCTACTGTTTCATGATGCTTGTGGTACTGCGTAAACGCATATCGGTGCGTTCATTGCGAAGCTTATGTGGCCTGCTGTTAATTGTGTTCACGCTTTTTGCCATTCTACGCTACACGTGGCGTGAATGCTTGTCATCGTTGGCACATGAAATTACTATGCACTTGTCTGCGTCGACCCGGTAAATTATTGCCCCAGGTAAAATGGGTCGGATGCTGTCACGCTTGGTTACTGGCAACGATTTTTTCTCGAATAGGTTTACGCCATTCTGGGTGGGCTCGTAGTTGAATCCCAGGATCTGCCCTCATTTTTTCTCGCAAAGGTGGCCGATCAGACATCTAAGAAAGATTTCCAGATCGTTTAAAGTTTTAGCAGGAGTTCAGTGCGGGAAGCAAGGGCAAAAATGATGCATTTCATTCTGTAGCCCACTGTCATAGCATCCTTTCCATCGAAAACCTTGGAGAAACCAAGAAAATGACTGCAGTTGTCCGACGTTGGCTAGAATAATCGTACCATTTGCTCACTCCATTTATTTCAATGCATTACAGATCCCATACTATTGCATTTGTGCGTCCAGGTGCGTCCTGTGTCATGCGATGAGCTGCTTGCAGCTATGTCTACGATGGACCCGACGACGTCCTGTGGGCTAGATGATCTTAGTACGCAGCTCGTACAGTAGTTTTTTCGTGGTATCGGATGTCTCCTAATTGACGTCATCAATAGCAGTCTCATTGACGGAAAGGTGCCCAGCGCCTGGAAACACGCTCTTATCACAGCGCTCCCGAAAACCAGTGATTTGAACGATCCAACCAAATTGAGGCCAATCTCTGTAGTGCCAGCCATAGCAAAGATAGTCGAGCGTATTGTTCATCATCAACTTAGTTCATATTTTAACGAGCAAGATTTATTTTCGTATACACAACACAGAGATCGTACGAATTTTTCAACTGAGGCCGCACTTACTGTAGTGAATGATAAAATACTCACCGCAATGGATGCTGGGAGATCGCTCTGCTTGTTTTGATAGATCTGTCAAAATGTTTTGACGTTGTGGACCACCAGCTTCTCTTCTCCAAGCTTAAGATGTACAATATCGACACGAAATGGTTTGAAAGCTAACTTTGCGGACATACCCAAATGGTTCAGGTCAGATATCCTTCAGGGCATACCGCGCTCTCGTAGTCTTCCGAATGGGATGGGGGTATTTCAGGGTACCGCCCTCGGGCCGCTCCTATATTCCATTTTCTCGAACGATCTAGCGTTATATTCAGAAGGCGCTACAGTGATATAATACGCCGATGACACACAGATTTTGGTTACTGGAAAGAAAAGCGCAATGCAGCAGCTTGTCGCAACCATGGAGAGTGCCTTGTAAGTTGTATTGGGCTGGTTTAACAACCACTCTATGGAAGTCAGTACAGCAAAAACACAGTTAATGTTTTTTCGGGACGAAGGCTATGCTGCGTCATATGCCTCCTGTGCATGTCAAGTTCGGGTCAGCTGTCATCACTGAAAGCCGTGCCTGTCAAAAACCTTGGTGTGGTGATGGACAGAAATCTCACATTTGAACCCACGTTGATCAGCTTGTTACCAGGTCGACAGGCGCTCTGATGGCCTGTCCCATACCAACCATGTACTCCCAAGAGACACCCACGTTCGCATTGTCGGAGCTCTAGTTCTTTCCTCCATTAGATACTGTATAGCACTGTATGGTACTCACGGTGCCACCCAGCCCCATCGCGTGCAAAAAACTCGTGAACTTCTGTGCGCGGGTTGTGAGCGGAAGGAGAAGGTGTGACTATATATCGGATGTTGTCAGGGATCTACGATGGCTTAGTGCTGATCAGCTCGTCAGATATCATATGTTGTGCCTGCTCAAAAAAGTCTTACTCACGGGTCAGCCACCAGATATAGCCGCGATGTTCACACGTGCTGAGCACACTCATGAAACGCGACAGGCTAACCAGCTGAGGCGCCCCCGAGTGGTGAGCAACTCTGGCACTCACCGATTTAGCTACAGAGCATCGGGTTTGTTTAACTGCATGCCGCCCGACTTGCGCAATGTTCAGAGTCTAGGCCGCTTCAAGCGCCAACTTATGGAGTTTCTACTCAGTGAGGCGAGTGTTGGCACATCAGTGGGTGCGTGTGTCAGTTCGATTGTGTGTGATGCCACAATGTGAATGCAATAGTGTGATTCACCGAGATGACCCCTTGACCCATGTGTGATGTGTTAGGCTATTTTTACTAGGTTTCACATTGTCTCTTTTATGCCCGATTTTATCAGTGATGACGTGTAACTTTTAAAAAGCCACTGGATCTTGTGGAAAGTTACTAACTATATGAACATGAACATTTCACACGATACAACCGACGATCGTGCTTCTATGTTTCCACATTCAGGTGTTTGTACTTGGGGACGTAGAGCTCTCCTCTCATCAGCCTGCCCAAAGGAGCCTACCACGTCTGAGCGAGCTTGGCCAGCATGCTCGTGCTAAATCTCTCACATCGTTCACCTTTGCAACAGCTGTTCATCACTGCACTGAAACCTGCAATAGATGGAATCACATTTCCGACTTTCATGCTGCCAAATAAACCGTTTCTCCAATTTTACGTATGAGAATAGCAAACAGCGGTGGGGCTTCAGCGTGCTGGCCGCGCGGCAAACGGAGGTGAACATGCTGGTGATTATGTGGCACGTTGTAAGAGGTTCCGATAGTCGGGGCCGTACGCCCAAGTCTGTTCAGAATTCCATCGACAGAAAACAAAACCAGACAGCGTAAAATATGATCTATGTGTGGCCTCGGCAACTATGGCACTGGTCGATATCATTTAACTCGTAGAGGTAGAGCCTACGATTTGATGGTTAAAGCCTTGAACAGCATTCTAAGCTACAGTCGCCCTAGGCCATTTGTTATGGCATGCATTGGCCTATATATGTCGGCCACCGATTTTGGTTCGTTATCCGAGGTTTACATCCCCATCTCCTATTGGATCAAGCAGGCTGTGAAATGCGTGTTGTTGGCAAGTGTGCATTACAGCCAAACTGTCCTGTGCTCATACCTTCTTAAGCCGCTTTAAAACGTCCGGAAGAATTGTATCTGAAGCTTTCTTCTGGGCGAAGATCCCCTCCAACAGTGTGGTATAACGCGCAATACTGATCACCACGTTATTAAATGATGTCTATACTTCATATATCTATCTATCTATCTATCTATCTATCTATCTAGAGAGAGAGAGAGAGAGAGAGAGAGAGGAGAGAGAGATGAAGAGAGGAGAGAGAGAGAGAGGATAGAGAGAAGAGAGATGAGAGGAGAGAGATATATCTAGTGAATATATGTATCTCTCTCTTCTCTCTCTCTCTCTCTTCTCTCTCTCTCTCTCTCTCTCTCTCCTCTTCTCTCTCTCTCTCTCTCTCTCTCTCTCTCTCTCTCTCTCTCTCTCTCTCTCTCTCTTTCTCTCTTTGATATATCTATATTTCATTTGCGGGTCATTTGCTTTAAGTTTGGGATCTTAGACATAGAAATGGTCAATGGCATTTACCGGTCGGTTATAAACTGATGTTTTTTTATATGGAGTTCTTTTAGAATGAAACCACTCGACTGCTGTGTGGGATAAGCCTTCTGTAGATGTTGAATTTATGCGCATGACGACCACGAGCGTTGAAGACGTATCTGAACAGAAAACACAGCCACTTATCACGAACTGCGACTCAAATTTCCTCAGCGATTGGATTGTTTGTCTAAAATAAGCACAGTTAGACAATGCTACCACCAAGTTTTATGCAACGCAATCGATCGTAGTGTTCACCTTTTATCAATCCCAACGCCATGATGATAGTTACCCACGGCATGAAAGTACGTCATGACATATCTATTAACGCCTTCTGTCCCCGCATGGGACAAATACCCAGAAGTTATTACATCACCCAGGGTCAGTGTCGCGGCATCGCTCGCCCGGAGTGGTGACTCACTGATGCAGCTCCACGTAATGTTCATGTTTGTCACGTTTTGCGTTGGCTGCTGGTGATTGCGCGCAGTAATCGCCGCCGGCTGACCGGGGTCGACAGTGTGACGCCGCACGAGACCGGGGCGGCGCGCTGCACGCGGGGGGCGCGGCGCACCGTGTAATGAGCGGGGTCACGGTACCGGCCCCGGCGCGCTTTAGACACGGGACACGTGTGAAACGGTGCGTCCAAACGGCGGGGAGCGACCGCTGGCGTGGCGTTCATACGAGCTTGGGGTGGGCAGTAGTGTTGCTACATTTGGTTGGTAGTCTCAAAAGCTTCTGCGTTCTCTGATGGTCATGCCGTCAGAGGCCGTCTGATGGTCAGGCCGTCACCCCGCCCTGGCGCCGCCCCCGTGACGTCACCCCGCCCTGGCGCACACCGCCGACCGCCCCCGTGACGTCACCCCGCCCTGGCGCGCGCCGCCGACCGCCCCCGTGACGTCACCCCGCCCTGACGTGCGCCGCCGACCGCCCCCGTGACGTCACCCCGCCCTGGCGCGCACCGCCGACCGCCCCCGTGACATCACCCCGCCCTGACGTGCGCCGCCGACCGCCCCCGTGACGTCACCCCGCCCTGGCGTGCGCCGCCGACCGCCTCCGTGACGTCACCCCGCCCTGACGTGCGCCGCCGACCGCCCCCGTGACGTCACCCGCCCTGACGTGCGCCGCCGACCGCCCCCGTGCCGTCACCCCCTCCCCCTCTGACGTGCGCCGCCGACCGCCCCCGTGACGTCACCCCGCCCTGACGTGCGCCGCCGACCGCCCCCGTGACGTCACCCCGCCCTGGCGTGCGCCGCCGACCGCCCCCGGGACGAAGCCCCGCCCTGACGTGCGCCGCCGACCCGGCAGGGCCGCCGAGTTCTACTGCGATGAACGCTCCCAGGAGTGCCGGCCAGACCCGTGTTCCAGCTGTAGTCTGGACGTCATCTACAGGTCCTACACCGAGTGTCAGCTGAGCTGTTTCCGCGCCGCCTCAGGTCTGTTGGCAGGGCGACGGGACGGGTCAAGGTCATCGGTGGGTCAGTTCACCCAGGTGTGGCAAAATGACCCAGTTGTGGCAGGCTTTGACGCGATAAAGTGCGTGTTTTTGTATAGGATGATAGGTGCATGATGCAAGTGCGAAATGTTTGGACAACGACTTCACAAGTATAGCTGCCGCAGTATGTATCATACGACGCTCTCCATATATGAGTAAGCTTTTTCCGACCAAGTGTCAAGGTTTGGAGCTGCATTCTTTTCAATACTTTTATGCTGCGGTAAAAGCTTACTTGCACGGTTGGAGTTGGCATGGCACTGATGCATGATAGGCAGACTGATGTGTTTTCACGAGTGGTGTCACGGCTTTCGTTGCTGGTACGTCGTTCAGACGCATAGATCAATAGTACACATAGGTGCACAATTTTCTAAAGCGGCAGTTTATGTTCCGAAACATGGCTTGGCATTTAACCGTCGCAGTGCACTACTTCATTCGAGTTAAACATTGGACAATGTAACCAAATAAGCTACGCATTTACCTTACCAATAGTGAATATCAGACAATTTGACACATTTAGCATACGATCAGACCCAAATTATGGCATGCCTTTAAACGACACTTTCGCTATCCTACCAAAAATCGATAACTAAACCACAAAATATGACGCTGGGCACCAGCGTAATTAGTTACGGCTGGGACGTTGCGCGGCGTTATTCGCCGCATCCTAGCACTCTGCGGCGGCGGCCGGCGCTTGCGCTGTGACCTGGCCTGACGCCCGTGACCTGACGCCCGGCCGCGCTGACCCCGTGACCTGACGCCCGGCCGCGCTGACCCCGTGACCTGACGCCCGGCCGCGCTGACCCCGTGACCTGACGCCCGGCCGTGCTCAGACGTTCCGTCGCCCTGGTCGTGCGTGCTGCCCTCCGAGATGGGGCCGTGCCGGGACCCGGTGCGCCGCTGGCACTTCGACCTAAAGGAGGGCGAGTGTCGCGACTTCTCCTACGGAGGTTAGTCAGCTGACTGGCGGGGGGTGGGGTTCAAAACATCCAATGCGTTCTGTCGTTCTCTAATCGTGCTGAATAGTACGACGCGTGTGACTTGTGTAATTTTGATTTTGACACGTGGGATAAAATGACGATAGTACTTGAAATTGGAGGATACCTTCATCCTACGTCCAGATTTCGGTACACTGGTAATGTATGTGACAAATACGCTTGTAAATTGTGACCTAGGAACCCAAACGTGGCCTAAGAAAATTGAAAAAATACCCTTCAAACAGCCCTGTATTCCGCTTTCACGATATCATCCCGTCCTGTTACCCGTACGCCTTATGTCGTCCGTCCGCTACACGGGCCACTATCCACTGCAGGCTGCCTGGGCAACTCCAACAACTTTGGATCGCCGGCCGAGTGCCGCAGCGTCTGCGAGTACCGCATCTCCGAGATCCTGCCGCTGCTGAACGTCACGCTGGATAAGCATGCACCTCTCAGCGTCGCTGGCTTCGCGGACGACCGCGGCCGGCCGTCTGCTCTTGGTCAGTCCCTGAAGCTTCTGCTCCTGGTCAGTCCCTGAAGCTCCTCCTCCTGGTCAGTCCCTGAAGCTTCTTCTTCTGGCTAGTCCCAGAAGCTTCTGCTCCTGGTCAGTCCCTGAATCTTCTGCTTCTGGCCAGTCCCTGAAGCTTCTGCTCCTGGTCAGTCCCTGAAGCTTCTGCTCACGGCCAGTCCCTGAATCTCCCGCTGCTGGTCAGTCCTTAAAACGATTACTCGTTCTCAGAAACACTTGGCCTGGACTCAACGTTCGATGAAAGGATCTATTAGCGCCCCCCCCCCCCCCCCCTTCGCCCCTCCCCGTTCATCACTGTACCGTGCCGCCAACTGTAAGTTTTTGTAGGTGCTACTCAGTAATCCCCAGTTCATTCAGGTGCATCAGATGTTAACTGTGCATGCATACATGGTCAAACATAGACCATGTATGCGCCTCGGTGGTGGGATGAAGCGGTAGCTAGTGTACCACTCCATGCTCTATCAGCACGCCTGTGTTTCCCGCGTGACTGCCACAATCGCGCCTGTGCCCTCCCATGATCACCTACCGTTACTAAGCATCTCTCTCCATACCTGTTGTCCCACACCTGCTGTGGTGGCCATCGCCAGCCGCTGACTGTTCCTGTATCACCGGAGGTTCATCGCACGCGATCACCGCCCCGCCTGATGGGCACCTGCCGTCGGGGTACAAGGGGCGGTGGTGGGGCGGGGGGGGGGGGGACAACCGGAGTAGATAATTGGCCCACCAACAACAGAGCGGCCGCATACCACTACCAGCTAGCTCATTATGCAGGAGTGGCCAGTTTTTGTGGCTCGGCCTATAAAGCCAGCGATAAAAATCAACGCCAGCCCCTGGTCTGCGAACCCGCAGTTTGTGACATTGCTGTACCTTTTTGGAAAGGAGGATCGATTTAAAGATGTAATCGCAAGTTGCGTGATTCGTGTGCCGAATTACGAGCTGCATAATATGAGGATAACTGCGTGGTGAGCGTGCGTTTATTGTGGCAAGGCTGCACTGCTGGTCATCAGTAGTGATGGTTTATGCGCACGAAGTAATACGCTCAGCCCGTTTGGAGCGCCGGAAATTGCTCGCGTGTGCATCACGGGGCTTCGTGAAATATTAATCTGCTGTCTCCCAACTATAGCTCTTGTTATGTGTATGCGTTGGATTGAGTTGTTTTTCGTCCTCTTGTACATGCATGCAAAATACAATCCGCGCTGTCAGTACGTGTCGCAGCATCTCTTACGAGACATCGCGAGACTCATGTGCACACGAACATTCAGCCACAAATTGGTATGCGCTCAGCACCGATCCGTGTCAAAACGACCTCCGTGTGTCTGCCAGCACCTGCTTCCCCAGAGCCTAGCCCCGCTCCCATCCCGTCGTGCCCGACCCCCGTCTGACCCCGTGATCACCCCGTCTGAACCCATGACCCCATGTGACCCGGTGACCCTCACCAGGCACGCGTGGCGAGGAGAAGCGGTGCCTGCTACCCCGGCCCGACGGCGTCTGCTCGCAGGAGGCATTTGGCCAGCCGCGCTTCGCCTATGACCCGGAGAGCGGCCGGTGAGAGCCACGGCCGCTCGGGGAAGCCCGCGGACCTTGAACAGCAGACAATGGAGTCAGCGGGGTACACTCCAGGGGGGGGGGGGGGGACGGCGCACTGCATGCGACGCGACGCGGCCCCGAATCAAAACACCGCGTGTGACCGGGTGGGAATGTGGGCTTTCCAGTCCGTGCGGCGCGTATTTTGGGCGTGGGATAGTCTTAGCTGGCGGGGCCGGAGTGTTGCACGGTTAGCATTGTTGGACCGACTAGGTGTCTGACAACCAGGAAGAGGTCAATGAGGTCAGACAATAAAAAAACAGTGCGAACACACTGTGACGCTTCTATTGGTGGGCGGTGTGGACGTTCTGTTGCCAGACACGTCAGGGCATATCATATATATATATATATATATATATATATATATATATATATATATATATATATATATATATATAAGTACGCCCTATATATAAATATTGTGTATATACGTATGTATATATAAACACATATCTCCTCTGACTAACGGAACCTGTGCCGTCGAATCGCGTCGGCTCTGGAACCCAAAAGCCCACGTCCAATGTAAACCATGCCTGTGACCTCATTTAAGCTCTGTGACCAGCGCCACGTGTCCGACAGGTGCGGCTCGTTTGAGTGGAACGGGTGTCAGGAGGGCGGTAACGTGTTCGCGTCGATATTGGCCTGCCAGATCCAGTGCGAGGGAATCCGGCCAGTGCTGCCCGTATACCCGCCGCCTCTGCCGGCCCGCGGCGCCGCCAAACACGGTAACCGTTGCTCTGAGCAGATCATAAAAAGTGATCGTCTGCTCCGTGCCGATCTCCAAGCGGTAATATGCCCCTCTGAGCCGATCACAAAACAGTGATCGTCTGCTCTGAGCCGATCTCAGAGATAGTACGCCTGTCTGAGCCGATCACAGAACGGTAATACGCCACTTACAGGCGCAAGCATTTTGTACGCGAGCACGGTGAGCACCTGTTCTAAGAAGCACAGAAAGCGTCCTATATCGGTATTATCAGGCTCGTCAGAGCATTTAAGAGTGTCAACAAGTGCGTTTAATATTATATGACGATCAACAAGTACGACGCCCGCTCGCACTAAGAATCAGAGCGTATGGTCGCTCTTAGTATCTTCCAAAAATGCAGTCGGATGCGAGTATCTCACCAAATAGGGAAACATGTGTTCTAATTACTTTTAAGTACGGGACAGACGATTCCTCTGAAATCATCGACCATACGGTGCAGTTCCTCACGCAGCATCGGCCGCTTCGGCCGTTTCCGTTTCCTAGCTTCGAATCGTATCAAGTACAGTAAAACCTCACTCCAGCTGTCACTAAATGCAGCGGCTATTTGATCCGATCGAAATTGCATGCCGTCAACTGTTGCCTCCAGTGCCGCCGAACTTGTGGTTATCGTCAGAAATGAAAGAGAGGTGAAATGCTTGCCGTTCTGAGCACCACAAGGCATGGTTGTGGTTCGCTGGCCATCCATCGGTGCACAAGCACGCATCACCAAGCCTTAAGGCCACGCTATAAGCGAAAGTGACCATAATATATCATCTAATATTTGTTTTGGGCGGCAGTATTTCTAACTACCCACCACACTCTGTTGTACCGTGGTCGGTATCGTCCTTCACCGACGCGGTCTTCTGCCCGTGTCATCAGAGATGGCTGAACGCCACAAGGCGGAGATGCCGGCGGACGAGGACCACGACCCGTGCATGCTGCCACCCGACCCGGGCACTTGCGGCGCCGACAGTCCGCGCCTCTTCTTCGACGCCGCGCTCGGCGTCTGCCGCCGCTTCCTGTTCGGCGGCTGCGGCGGCAACCTCAACAACTTCCGCAGCCTGGACGCATGCTACCGCACCTGCAACAACGCCACGGCGGCCGCGGCGCCGGCGGCTGCCGCTTGCCTCGCGCCCAAGCAGGAGGGCTCCTGCAGCTCCAGCGTGATGCGCTTCTACTATGACGGTGCCACCGGTCGCTGCCGCGCTTTCCGCTATTCGGGCTGCGACGGCTCCGCCAACAACTTCCTCTCGCTGGAGGCATGCGCCGCCACCTGCCGGCCGCCGGCCGAGGACATGCCGTCGCCAGCCGAGGCGGCGCTCGTCGAGGACGACGCCGGCGTGCGCGCGCGCCGCGTCGGCGCCAACTCCCAGCTGGGCGACGCGTGCAGCCTGGCGCCCGACGCCGGCCCGTGCCTGGGCGAGCAGACGCGCTGGCACTACGACCCGGTGATCGGCCGCTGCCGCAAGTTCTTCTACGGCGGCTGCGAGGGCAACGCCAACAACTTCGCCGACCGGGCCGATTGCGCCGAGGCGTGCGGCCGCCGCGCCGAGCCCGGCCGCCGCGACCGGCAGTGTCGCGGCCCGCCCAAGCGCCAGGGCTCCCGCCGCTGCTTCGACAGCATCCAGCGCTACACGTACAGCGAGGCGAGCGGCCGCTGCGAGCGCGTGGTGTTCGACGGCTGCGGCGTCACGGCCAACAACTACCGCACGCTGTCCGAGTGTGAGCGCGCCTGTCTGAGTGACGGGCCGGCCGGCCAGGCAGGTGCGTTGGTGTTGGATTTCGGAGTGGCCCTGTTTCGCGAGGGTGAGCGCTTTTTATTTCCGCATTGAGATTGCTAGCATTGTTTGGAGGGTGGGGGCGCAGCTGGAGTCGGCGCTCAGGGATGTACATGTTGTTTCTGCTACCCGCGAGGCCTTGCGTTTTCTTGTCACACTGATTCCTCCTTCTAGCACGGTGGGCGGCAGAGCCTGCGGTGGCATGCAGCACAAAACTCTAACTAGCTCTAACTAACTCAAATTCATTAACTGTTGCACCATTGTTTCCTCTGCATACATTGTGCACATGCACCACTGATATGCAAAATGCCTTACGGCGATGCAGATGTATGCGATCTTTGCACATCAGTTCTCATGCGGCAGGCCAGCGAGGTTTAAAGGCCCTCCACTTGGCGTGTATTATGGTGTTTGGCAGCAACAGAAAACTGCCATACCCTGCCTACACAGGTAATGGCCCTGGTGTATGCAAATCGCATAGCGTTTCAATCGTAGCAGATTTGCGAGTCAATGCCTTTTGCCACCATCCCCGCGTGTTTACAGAGAAGCCTAGAAAGCTCCGCTGCGCCACACCTAATTGCTGCGTCTGGGAAGTGTTTCTGCATGAGATGTCGTGTCTAAATGCTGAATGATTATTTCAGCATCCACTGGTGCTTATGATGGCCAGAGCCGGCTGCAGAAGTGGCCCATTATCCTATAACAACAATGTGACCAAAAGTGATGTTAGTTCCTCTTTTAAGCGCTTTATCTAACAGCACTAACGGCCTCGGCACACCCCGAAGCAGGATGCCTGCCCTGTGCCAGTGCTTGGGGATTCGTGCTAGTTCTCTTCGACGTCTCTTCAAAACACTCGCCTGGCCTCGATCACCACCTGACGCATTGATGGTACAGTATGACGTCATTCCCGGCCCCATGCCAGTGCTCCCCGTCGGACGTCACCGCCAGTGACGTCACCGTGACGTCACCTCCGGCAGACCGTGTGTGTCGGCTACGCCCAGACCCGGGCCGCTGTGACGCTCAGATCGACCGCTACTACTATGACCCAGCCTCCGGCCGCTGCCGCCGCTTCATCTACGGAGGCTGCCGCGGCAACGCCGTACGTATGGTGCATGTGCGGTGATGCTGAGAGACACAGAAGGGTCGCTGATTCGAGGCCTGGTGGAAGATATTTGCCTAGTACATCCAGCCGGTGAGGTTGTAATGCTAGCTCCCAAAGTGTCTACACACCTTTGAGACCTTCCGCAGAGTTACCTGCTGTAATCGTGCATGCTGGAAATTTCCAACGCCGTGATTCATTTAAACGGATTGTTGACGTACGATTCTCCAATAATCATCACTGTGTCGCGAAATACATAATCATTCATCGCTTGTTTTAACCTGCGTCCTAAGTCTAAATTTTGAAGAACACGGCCTGGTTGGGATCCATGCGCCTTCGCTCCATGCCGTTTCCAAACTAGGACAAAGATAGAGATGGAGTAAAAGGCACCAACGGATTGTTCTTAATGAGATTTTGCGATCGACAATATACTCTCTTTTGCTAACTGACCCCATGATGCCATGACAAAGGTCGAATTTTTCCAAAATAGTTTTTCAGCTGAATGTCGTCATATCTACGAGACAATACCTTGTAGCGGCACGAAAGCTAGGCAAGCGTATTTTTGTTTCATGATAAGTGCAACGATGATAGTTGTACGCATTTTGATAAAATAGTTATGATCTATGGCTACGTAAATGAAGCACTGTGAGCCAGTCGCGTGCGGTCGGCGAAATCGTCTGATGCCGCTTGCCGCTCACACTGGCCATAAATCGTCGTGAAGTGTTCCCCCCCCCCAAAAAAACCATCGCTACGTGGGAACCGGAAATGTTAGAGACACCTTTCTTTGTCGACAGGGTATGTAACGGATGTCCTATAGGAAGCAAAAAATTAGGCACGATTGCAAAGTAAGCCAGACAGGTATCTTAACAAAATCTGAGGGAGAGGGGCTGCATCAGCACTATCTCTAGCCAAGGCCAGAGCTAAGCTCATCTCGGCTGGCCTTGTCTGAGTTTGCAAAGAATGCAACCAAGCACGACCTGTCCTCTCGGCTGCAGCAGCCTCCCCAGCAGACGGTACGCTCGTCCTCCTCTCTCCTGCATCTCACGACACCGCCAGCTCCTGCACCCCCCTCCCCCCGGTCGCAGCCTTTCCACCTCACCTCACGGCGTGTCCGTCCGCAGAACAACTTCGAGACGATGCGGGAGTGCATGAGCACGTGCCGGGACGTGAGCCCGACGGACGGTAGCGGCGAGCGGCCGGAGGTGGACTGCTCGGCGCCGCCGGTCGACCCGCGCGCCCCCTCCTGCACCGCCCGTCTCCGCCGCTTCTATTACAGCGTGCCTGCTGGCCGCTGCGTCAGCCTGCTGTACGGCGGCTGTGGCGCCACCGACAACAACTTCGCCACGCAGTCGAGCTGCGAGCGCAGCTGTCCTGCGGGCGCTGTTGATCAGACGGGTGAGAGAGGTTGACAGGGGTCGGGCGGGCTTCAGAGAGTGCTGTTAATCAGACGGGTGAGAGAGGTGGGTGGTAACTGGGTCGGGCGGGCTTCATAGGGTGCTGTTAATCAGACGGGTGAGAGAAGTCGACAGGGGTCGGGCGGGCTTCAGAGGGTGCCGTTAATCAGACGGGTGAGAGAGGTCGACAGGGGTCGGGCGGGCTTCAGAGGGTGCTGTTAATCACACGGGTGATAGAGGTGGGTGGTGATGGGGTCGGGCGGGCTTTAGAGGGCGCGTCACACCAGTGCAGGCTCATGCTGAGTCGAAAAACGGAATCAATCGTCTCGCACTCATTAACGCCATGGGAAAAGAAATTGCGTGCTCGACTGCGCATAGCGAGGAGGACAAAACAAGAAGTGTTATGACTGCTTCCGATTCCAGTTTACAATCACGGATATTGTTTTGGTAGATGCGTGTCAAAGAAGTGAAGTGCCCCGTCTTGCTGTCATGTCAAGCCGCCCTCTTACTTCCTACCCCTTCTCCATTTACTGACCTGCTTGCGCCGTTGTAGCCCATATGGCCGCTCTCCGTCCGCCAGAGACGTGCCTGGCGCTGTTGTGAACCACGTGGCCGCTCCCGTTCACCAGAGACGTACCTGGCGCTGTTGTGAACCACGTGGCCGTTCCCGTTCACCAGAGACGTACCTGGCGCTGTTGTTAACCACGTGGCCGTTCCCGTCCGCCAGAGATGTGCCTGGCACCGTCGGCGGACCCGGGCAACTGTCTGGGCCGCGTGGATCGCTTTACGTACGACTCGACCACCGGCGAGTGCTTCCAGTTCGACTACACCGGCTGCGGCGGCAGCGACAACAACTTCGCCAGCCGACGCGAGTGTCTGGAGCTGTGCCGAGGCGTCACCGGCGAAGCGAATCAAGGTCAGAGTAAGATCCGCCAGATCGGCGCTTGAGTCAGAGGCACGCTGTCCGCTCAGTGTGGCGGCTGGAAGCCATGTTTCAGTACTGAAGCAAGCTGCGTTGACAAAATTAGATGCCTTTGAAAGGTCGTCTTTTTCTTGCATGGCAGGCGTCAATAGATCCTAAATTGGGCTTGAATTCCAAGTGTATGAAATCCAGTAGCCGTCTTTGAGATTTGCATTTCGGAAACAAAAAAGTTAAGGTTCGTTTAAGAAAGCCTTCAATTCAGAGGAAAACATCAAAAATAAAATTTAAAGAGTAAAAAGCAGCGGCCGGCTGGCCTGGTTAGAGTAAACGTAAAAAGCACATAGAGCGAAGGCTCAGACGGACATGAGTGTCGGGGGTCGACTCGTTCTGGAGACATGCCGCCAAAGCCAGCGTGGTCTTGTCTTGTGTCCAGATCGTGCCCCCTTACCACATTTTCAAGAGCTCACGTGATGTCACTGATAGACGCGCGGCGACCAGCCTGTCGACTGGTCTGACCTGACCTGCCGTGCCGCAGACGTGTGCCTCCTCCCATCGGATGCGGGTCCTTGCACGGGCCGGGTGGAGCGGTACTTCTACAGCGCTGCCACCGGCCGCTGCCAGCAGTTCTCCTATGGCGGTTGCGAGGGCAATGGCAACAACTTTGAGACTGCTCGGGAGTGCACCAGCCGATGCACCGGCAGCAAGATCGAACCGGGTATGGGCTGACGCGGGACGGCGCCGGAGGGCTGCTTTCTGGCAGATGGACATAGATCAGCTGCATATCAAGTCACTGGCTTAGTCTAAGCAGCCTAAGCCGCATTGCCCCAAATCGCACTGCCAGAGACCGCTGTCATTATAAACATTCTTGCCTCTGGTTCATGAAATGGGTAGCATGACTGCATCACGAATGGCTATCATGGTTATCTTGCTTGTTTCACTCTTGGACTACCTTCGTGGACATGCTGTAATTCCTACTCCTGTCATTCCACGCCTCCAGGCGGCGCAATCTGCAGACAGCGCTCCTTGGTGGGACCCTGTGCGGGCAGCTTCACCCGGTACTACTTTGACGACACCAGCAAACGGTGTCAGCAGTTCATCTACAGCGGCTGCGGGGGAAACTTAAACAACTTTGAGACCCGCAGCGAATGCGAGCGGTCCTGCCCAGCCACCCCTGGCCCTGGCCCTGGCCCTGGCCCGACCCCCAGCGAAGGTGGGTCTATCACATGACATCGATCTCTGGAAGCCAACTTTGGGGTCCTGGTAGTGCAGTGGTTGACGTGTCTGCGTTAACCACCGTGTGTCTGGGAAATCAGAAGTGCGGGGTTCGATTCCCCGCGCGGTGCCCGTCCTTCCTGCCAGGGTGAGAGGCAGGCAACGCCATATGGCCTCAATAACTGAGTGCGTCGTAAAGCCACAACGACACGCACACACACCGCGAGCCGCCTTGCGGTTAGGTTACAATACACCATTCACTGAGTGCCACAGTTTGCGCGGCCATATAATGTTACACTCAAAATGTCGCCAGAAGCTGGTTACTTCTTCGAGCAGCAGCGATCCCTGCGTCGTTTCGTGTTGGACTCTTACGTTAGCTCTCCGCTTCGCTGCCAGAGCTGTGCCGCCTACCCGCGGAGGCCGGACCATGCTTCGCGGCGCTGCCGCGCTTCTACTACGACCCGTCGCGCCGAGCCTGCCGCGACTTCACCTACGGCGGCTGCGCCGGCAACGCCAACAACTTCGAAACCCTGGCTGCGTGCAACGCGCGCTGCGGTGAGAGCAGCGAGCGGCCGGCGCGCTGCCTCGCCCCGCCGAGCGGCGATGGCACGTGCAACGAGCCGCGACAGGCGCGTAGAGTCTACTTTGACGCGCGCGCCGGCCGCTGCGTGGCGCGCACCAGCAGCGACTGCCCGTCCGAGAACAGCTTCCGGTTGGCCGCCGACTGCCGCGAGGAGTGTGTCGTGCCGGAGTCGGCGCGCGCCGTCTGCGCGCTGCCGGCCGAGCGCGGCGAGTGCGCCGGCCGCGAGCGCCGCTGGGCGTTCAGTGTGCGCTCGGGCCGCTGTCAGCCGTTCGAGTATGGCGGCTGCGGCGGCAACGCCAACAGCTTCGAGACGCTGGCCGCCTGCCTCGGCGCGTGCCGCGGGCTCCGGCTGAGTAACGCCGGCAACCTGTCGAACGCCTGCATGGAGCCGCCCGTGCTGGACGACTTCTGCGAGCCGCAGGAGCGGCCGGAGATGCGCTGGACCTTCAACGCCGAGACGCTCAGGTGTGGCGCGCTGCATTCAGCTAGTGGTAGCATGGAATGCTGGTCATTTGCGTAGACTGCATCATGCATTGCTTTCTTACGGATGGAACTCAGGAACAGCAAATATTACCAATGACACTGTAAACAAACACAGCACTGCACAGCACACGAATGGCCCTTTCAGCGACGGTATTATTTAGGTTGCAGACATTTGGTGCTTGGTTTACGCTCATGCCAGTGGCATTGTACCATCAGACGGTACCTGAATTTGCCCGCTGCTAGACCGAAACTTGAAAACACTTGAAAAAAGTTATCATGATGGGCCGTGCACCTTCTGCCCCCGCTATGTTGAACTTCCTAACCTCACCCCGCCCTTCTGCTCAGGTGTGAGGACTTCGAGTCGTCCGGCTGTGAAGTGGGGCCCAACATCTACCGCAGCGGGCGGGCGTGCGAACGCTCGTGCCAGGCCGGGCCAGATCGGCCGCGGCCGGGCCCGGCCTCCTGTGACCGCGAGCCGCGCCCGGTGTTCGGCTGCACGCCCGGCCGCCAGCGCACCGTCTTCTTCTACGCGGCTAACCGCGGCGTGTGCCTCACACTGGTTGACGACGGCTGCCTCAGCGGCGACAACATGTACTCCACCAGAGAGGTGGGGCTGGCCTTTGGACGTCCGCTGTAGGCACATGCCGACAAACGTCACACGAAAAAAACAGACAGTGATGTATACAATGGATTGAGAGAGAGAGAGAGAGAGAGAGAGAGAGAGAGAGAGAGAGAGAGAGAGAGAGAGAGAGAGAGAGAGAGAGAGAGAGAGGAGAGAGAGAGAGAGAGAGAGAGAGCGAGAGAGAGAAAACTGAAGCCTTTTTATTTGTTAGGTGATATGGTGAGCTGGTCATAGTCCTTCAAGGACTATACTATATATATATATATATATATAGATATATATATATCTATATATATAGATATATATATATGGGTGTAATGTAATATGTATATGATATATGATATGAAAGGTATATATATATGTATATATATTGTATATATATATATATGTATATATATATATATATATATATATATATATATATATATATATTATATATAGATATATACAACTGAAGCCTTTTTTATTGTTTAGGTGATATGGTGAGCTGGTCATAGTCCTTCATATATATATATATATATATATATATATATATATACATATATATATATATATATATATATATATATATTATATATATGTATATGTATATAGATATATATCTCTTTTTTTATGTAAATAACAAACGAAAACCTTTTTGTTTTGAGGTGACCAGGCCGTTGCTTCAACTGATTTGCATGCATCGTGGGCAAGACGAAGATGAAGTGTGCGCCTAAGCCAGACAGAGGATGCTGGTTCACCAGCATATAGCGGCTTGTCATTGATTCTCAATTGGACTGCGCGTATCGCTATGAGAGATGCAGGTCTGCTTCCAATTTTGGTTTGGTATGGACTAGAGGTGTTGACGACAATTTTAGTTCGATGGAATGAAGGAGAGTGAGTAGCATTTAGGCAAAGCTGCTCGCTTGCGGGGGTCCTCTGCCGAGACTCCGCCGGGACTTCTGTACGGGATGTGTGCTCCGCCTTCGGATCGGGTCCTCACCTGAATGCACTTAAATCTACGCATGTGCGCAGGCAACTGGGGTGTCGCCAGGATGCAGGACGAAGAAAGACTGAGATACGAACGGCGGATGCTTGTTTCTAAAGTCTACCTGAACCCGCCGTTTTCAGGGCTACCTGCCGTCCTACCCGCCCGCCTGCCTGTTGTGGGAATGGCTTGCGAGGTAGTTTCCTTTAAGCCACGTGACGTGCTTCTGGCCAAATGGTATTTGAGTACTGTTGACTTTTAGATCAAGCTCACGGGCGATTTTGCGTGGCAGGAGTGTTTGCAGAGCTGCGCGGGCGGTGGTGAAGGAGGAGCCATCTGCCGGCTGCCCGTAGAACCCGGCAACACCTGCAGGGGCAGACTGCGCCGCTGGGCGTTCAGCACTGACACCGGCCGATGCGAGCGGTTCTTCTACACGGGCTGTGACGGCAACGCCAACAATTTCGAGTCGCGCGCGGAGTGTCAGTCTCGCTGTGGCGGGGACGTTAGCCGAGGTAAGGCTTGCAGAGCGGGGCAGGGGGAGAGAGAGGGAGAGCGGAGAGGGTGCAGATGTGTTGGTCGCCTTCTTACCACGGTAGCTCGTGTGTTCCTCTCCATGTACGGGCGTGAATAATTCAATGCTTCTATGTTCGCCATGTTAATGGAAATATCGTTCCGAGGCTTTACCTGAGAGAGGTAGCTCTTATACAGTTGTGTTTATCAAGTGCCGACCAACATTCTTTACTCCCTAATACAGGAGCGAGCAATAACAGTCAGCCAGTCCTCTTCATGCCACCCGTTTCGTCGCCATGGCGTGGCAGTTGTACCCACATGTAGTCAATGATATCAAGGCTGAATAGCTTCTCCTCCTCTTTTGAAAAAAATTATTGGCTATTGCGTGTGTACCAGCCTCTCCTATAAACATCAGACCTGATTTCTTGAAATGTTCCATTTTTCTGCGCAAACCTTCACTATCAACACAAAGCTTGCCTATGGTACGTTAGCGGCTACCCATCCTGTTTCAAGTCTGTACCCAACGGTTCACCAATCCTCCTGCTGTGAAAACAACCCACGCAGTCGGTCAACGCCTCCACTCTTCCTGCCTCCTCCCACCCGGCAATGGACTCACCTACTCGGTCGTCCAATGGACTCGCCCTCTGCTGCTCCACTCGGAACTCAGCTGCGCCGCCGCTGCCACCAGGCGGCGAGGACCGCGGTCCGCCGGAGTTCTGTCAGCTGTTCCATCCACATCCACTCACCCGTGGTGGGGAGGGCTCGAGTCGCTTTAGGTGCTCGCTGTTTGCTGTTGACCGGGATGGCCGGTGGCAGTGGCCACCCTAAAGGTCATGTGACGGCAAAGAGCGGGACGAACCGAGCGTAGCATGGCGGTGCGTTAAACTTTCCTCATCCAATTCGGTCGTTGCCCTGGATTTATACGATTGACTGTGTCGGGGCCGGAGCTCACGTAACAAGTACTGATGGCCATGAACTCAGCGTCTCCAAATTCAAAAACTGACTAGATATAGCGACGAAGTGGTACAACCTGGCTGAAATACCCTTATATGTCCCGATCTGGCCCTCATCCCAAGTAACATCCTGGTTGCACCACTGAAGGTGTGACTTATGAGTATATGTGTAAAACCCCGAACTGTTAGTATATTGGGGGGCCGAGATTCTTCCACTGTGGATTTTCTTTGCATCTCATGGCTGGGAATATATTCTATTTATGTTCTGTATGTGTATTAAGTGTCATAGTTACATTCATATGTATGTATACATGCATGTATGTGTGGTACATACATGCATGCATAGAGGTATGGGTGGTGCCCTCAGCGGCAGCGCAAGTCGAAATTCTACACGTGACATTGACAGCGCACTACACCAGTATCGAACTCTCGTTTTATTAACGGTACGTTGTCCACAGGTGAAAGAGAGGGCGAAAGACCGCAGTTCTGTCGAGTCCGACCGGAGGATATTGCAGGATGTCGCCCTGGCAGCCGGGAGACCAAGTTCTACTTCAGCGCCACGGCCGGCAGATGCCGCTCATTCGAATCGGTCGGCTGCGAGCGAGGCAGAAACGTGTTCCTGACGCGAAGGGAATGTGAACAAGCTTGCGGCGACCGCGATGCCGGTGAGGGAGGGGCAGCGGATGAAAAACCCAAAAGAGTGAAATGGGGTGGATCTTGCAGCGATATCCTCGCAAGGAAACCAACTGGCCGCCATTTGAAGATATATTTGGACATACATTTTAGACAATTCAACCGTTTTCACTGCTAAGTATACAGCTGCTTACGTGTTGTGTGCCCATCAGGTGGTGAAGTTGAAAACCAGCCCCAGCTCTGTCGTGTTGAGCCCGAAGAGGACCCCAACTGCCGCCCTGGTCGCCGCGAGACCAAGTACTACTTCAGCACTGCCGTCGGCAGATGTCGCTCATTTGTGTCCGTTGGCTGCGAGCGTGGGAGAAACGTGTTCCTCACCGCTCGGGAATGCGAAGAGGTGTGCGAGAGCCGAGACACAGGTGAGAGCGACCGTGAGTCTCTTTCCTCAGATTGGTGTTGGTTTGATAAGAGCCTTCTCGGTCACTAATGATAATTTCGGTGCCACGAGATGAAGGCAAGTGGATACTGGTGGGACAACACTGCATCCACTGCGGGTCCTCCGCCAAGGCTCGGTCCGCACAGGGAGCCCCGTACAGGATACGCGCTCTGCCCTCGCACTGGGCACCCGCCAGGGGGCCCGTCCTACTGCTAGGTGCGTGCAGCCTAGGTGCGTGTAGCCAGCTCTGGATAACTGGGGTGTCGTGAGGAGGCAAGATGAAGCTAGACAAGGGAAGTACAGCACATAATCTTTTTCATCGAAGTGTAGGCTGATGTAGCGCATCGTCTTACCCATCCAATAAAGGCCTCATTCGCTTCCAACGATGATGGCGCAACGACTAGCTTTTTGCGCATTTGATCCGTTAATTGCTCTAAAATCGTTTTTTTCAGATAATGGTGGCGGCGGTATCCCGCAGTTTTGCCGCGCAGAACCCGAAGATGATCCGAACTGCCTGCCTGGTGACCGCCAGACCAAGTATTACTTCAGCGCTGCCGTCGGTAGATGTCGCTCTTTCGTATCGGTCGACTGCGAGCGGGGCAGAAACGTGTTCTTGACGCGGCGGGAGTGCGAGCAGGCATGCAGTGGCCGTGACGAAGGTGAGGAGGGCGTCCGGCTGTTGACCGGTGCAGGACTATCGCGCATCTGGCAGCGCTGCCGAGTGCTTCGGTGGGTTTGGGAGTGGGGACATTGTTAGATGGAGACAGTCCGGCTCCAACAGCAAGCTGCAGTTCAATCACGGCGCAGCAAAATGTGTAATGATAGGATTGTTGCAGAGCTTTAGGTACCTACGCAACAAAGCACGCTTTTCATTTTGAAAGCCATCAATGTTATGGCATGCGTTATTCTCGCCGGCTGGATATCGGCTCGGCTCGGCTATTGCGCTACAACAGCGGTGCGCATGCACGGGCGTCTACTAAACACTGTCCGCCTCGGCGGACCCGGGCACGAGTGAGGTGTTGACCCGTTAGGCAACCTGACCTTTCAGCTGACCCGGCGCTGGGAGGCTTATATTATAGCATGTCTTACATAACATTATTACGGAAAAGACGGACGGCAATCACAATTCTCGAATTTACTGTACCGCTGCAGTTCGACCTTGGGATGCCAAATGTACCGGCCCACATACCATGGCCCAACTTTTGTTCATTCAGGTGGTGGTGAGAGGCCCCAGTTCTGCCGTGCCGAGCCCGAGGCCATCTCCAACTGCCGGCCTGGTGATCGTGAAACCAAATACTACTTCAGCGCCGCTGACGGGAGATGTCGCCCCTTCGTGTCGCTCGGATGCGAACGAGGCAGGAATATGTTCTTCACAATGCGGGAGTGTAGGGAGGCTTGCGATGCCAGCGACACGGAAGGTGGGCATTCTTGGTGTAAAATGTTCAACAGCTGACATATCCAGTCCGGAGTGCATCTGTTGTTGTTTATGTGTATGCATGCCCCTCCTGGTGGTTTAGCCATGGGCCCTCTTCCAAAACAAGACAACAACAAAAAACACTGTAGACCAATTTGGCGGTTCTAGTGGCAATACCCGCCATACTGCACACTGCGATAGTCAGTCAGCTACTGACGGAATTTAGACAAGATCTTAAAAGAAACGCAGCCCAGTTCGGGCATCCATAACAAACCACGCCGTCTTCGTTTGTGGGATACAAGTCTTTGTGATCCTCGTCGTAGTTTACTAGCTTCGCATTCCGTACTACGTTGAGTCGTGCGAGGTTCTTCGTTCTGTGGCCACAACATCAACTAAATCGGAAAGCCCCACATCTAACCTCTTTGGTACCTCTTTTTTTTCCAAAATCAGCCAAATTATTCGTGAGTGCATGTAACGATTATGTACGGTTTTCAGTGTAGCTACATTCCACGCCACTAGAAGAACCATTCATCGCGGACCTTTCAAAAACATATGGTATACCGTAAAGAATGACACATTAAATGAAAGGCGCACATACACTATTTCTGATCAGTGATGTATCGCACACGAGCCGCCACGGTCGTCTGAACAGACAATATGCAAAGTTGGCTGCACCCCGGGTAATATCGGCCACAGTTCCAACACGATCCGGGGTACGAGCTGCTGTCGCCTGCCTCTTCACTGTCCGTCTCTCCACCAGGTGCTGGGATGTGCTCGTTGCCGTCTGACCCGGGCCCGTGCACCGCCTTCGAGACGCGCTGGTACCGAGACCCGGCTTCGGGCACCTGCGAGACCTTCCAGTATGGCGGCTGCGAGGGCAACAGCAACAACTTTCTGACGCGAGCGGAATGTTTAGAGCGCTGTCAGAACGACAACCGGGCCGAGAACGAGATCTGCAACCAAGTGAGAACGGGAGTAGAGCGCAGCTGCGGGCAGACGACGAAAAAAGCGAGAATAAGACCAAAATTGGGTGAAACCGAGATGGGAATTTGCCAGAAACCAGGATAACTACAAAACGGCAACAGATTTATAGCCTGTGACAGGTAGGAGCAAGACGACAACAATATATGCGGCCAGGTGAAAACCAGACACGATAAGTCTGCTAGCAGGTAACAACGAGACAAGAACAAAAAAGTGACTCGCTGAAAAAGACATCAGGCTGGCATTTTCAGCCAGGTAAAAGCGAGACGAGGGTCCGGGGGTCGGTGAGGACCACAAGAAACAAGCCGCCATCGTGAGATGTCAAGACGAGAGCGGTATGTGTGCCAGGAAACTTTGCGTCCCATCAGTCTCGCCCGGGACTGAGAAGCGCAGGATGGAGAACGGATGCTGCCGGAGTCTTTTCGTTCTTTGCATATTGCTTACCGCACCTAATGTGATCTACAACCAGTCGTTAAAGCCAGTTGCCAGCTGTGCGCGACTTCCAAGTTTCCAAGTCACTATAACCTGGCCTGACCTTTCCCGTAGACAGCGGAGATGAGCGACACCAATCATGCCCACGCAAAATTATCTCTTTGACCTGACTTGACCCGTCCGCGGCCACCGGAGACGAACTGCCGTCCGTGCAGGGTTAAGGCAACCGCTCATATCTGACCTGATCTGACCTGATTTGATCTTATTTGACCTGGCCTGACCTGTCCGCAGCCGCCGGAGACGAACGAACGGCGGTGCCGGGACGAGGTGACCTCTCTTGCTTGGCCTGACCTGATCTGACCTGACATGACTTGTCCGCAGCCGCCGGAGACGAACGACCGCCCGTGCCGGGACGAGGTGACACGCTTCTTCTGGGACCTGGCCAGCGGCGCGTGCCGCTCCTTCCGCTACTCGGGCTGCGGCGCCACGGCCAATAACTTCCGCTCGCTGCGGGACTGCAGGGCGGCGTGCCGGGGACGGGACTCGGAGGGCGGCCGGCCGCCGACGCAGCAGCGCTGCCTGGAGGCGCCCGAGCAGAAGCCGGCCGACACGTCCAGCTGCGGCCGCCAGCAGAAGCGATACACGTGAGAGGAGGACGGGGAGGGCGCAGAAGAGGTGGGGTGGCAGGCAGGGACTGGGCAGGCACAGGTGGTTGGCCGACATGAGCGAAGGTCTCCTGAAAGTGTGGGACGGGTCTTTGTGTGGCTTTGTTCGATCGGCCTGGGGTGCTTGATCACGGGGTAGTCTTCCACGTGTGAGACGTTGGCACGGGAGTGAGTCTTTGCAAGGTTCGCTGACGTTCGTATTTAGCATTATGCTGAACCGATATAAATTTGTATTACGAGTGGCTAAGTTCTCAAAATTTCCCCGGGAAATTGGGAAGTGGTATGGATATTTGTGACCACCTAGAATGCATAAGTGCATAGGCGCAACTTAGGTACATAGGCAACTTTCACACATCTCGCCTAGTTTCCTTGTAGCTCAAAGCATCTGGAAGGCAAGAATACCGTTTCCCTGTCTTCACAAACTCGTTAAGATGACTGCTAAATTATTTGCGTTGCAGGTATTCGAGTCGTCGGGGATTCTGCGTTCCGTTCACATACACGGGTTGCACTGAAACAAGCAATAACTTCATGACCAGGGAGGAGTGCAGGGATACATGCCAACCGAGAGGTAAGTGCTGACTTCAACTAGCTGTTATGCATTTCATTTCACTTCGAAAGACTCCGTTGCCAACTTAAGCTCTTGCATTATTTCAGTTAGCTGTGTTCGGCGCCTGCGCGTATTTAACTCTCATTGGTTCACAGAGAATGTTTAACCTTCACAGTTTTCGTCTTATGTATAATGGCTGCTACCGGACAATACACCCGAAATGTGGTGGCTGCATCTTCTCAGTTGCATCCATGACGCGAAGGTCAGGTTATGTGTAACGCGACATGTGCAATGTCAACCTGATAAGTGCTATCTAATCCAATGGAACGTTATGTTCACCCAATGCGACCCACCACAGTTCTTTTACACAATACAACGTATTTACTTGCTGCATAGATTAAAGTAAAATAAATCACCTCCCCCTCCCCTTAACAGCTCAATCAATCTTTGCTACCTTGCACCAAGCCACCATTACGTTTCTTACAGAAGCAGTCGACCTCTTCCGAGCGTTGTACTGCACAGCTCTCACCTTATATTTCTTCCAACCATCTCAGGGCCGATCCATGGCACCAACGCCATCTAAGAAGATAAATGTCTCTATCGTTCGCTTTAAACCAGTGACACCTTCCTCTCGTTGTACTGAGACCAATTACATTTTCACCCACGCCATATCGGCAACACCGCTGCCCTCCTCTACAGACCAGCAGTAACTTCCTCTGTCCACGCCACACCAGTGGCAGCCCACACGACCCCCGCCGCACACCCTCCGCCGCACACCATTGGTAGCCTGCACACCCTCCGCCGCACACCAGTGGTAGCCCACACACCTTCTGACGCACACCAGTGGTAGCCCACACACCCTCCGCCGCACACCATTGGCACCCCGCCCATCCTCTGCGGTACACCCGGACACCTCCCACCTCCACTCTACATCAGTGGTACCGCTCCTGTCTACTATGGACCACTTACACCCTCCCCTCCATTCCAGACCAGTGGAACCTGTCCTACCATCCACTAAAGATCAGTGATACCCTTCTCCCTTCACAGAAGACCAGTTCCATCATACCGCCGTCGCAAAGCGGTGATCCCGTCCCCTCGGCCACAGACCACTGACCCCGTTCCCTCCTCTGCAGACTAGTGACCCCGTCCCCTCCTCCGCTGACCAGTGGCCCTGTCCCTCCTCTGCAGACCAGTGACTACGTCCCCTCCTCCGCTGACCAGTGGCCCTGTTCCCTCCTCTGCAGACCAGTGACCCCGTCCCGTTCTCCGCAGACCAGTGACCCCGTCCCTCCTCCGTAGACTGGTGACCCCGTCCCTGTCCCCTCCTCCGCTGACCAGTGGCCCTGTCCCTTCTTCTGCAGACTAGTGACCCCCCGTCCCCTCCTCCGCTGACCAGTGGCCCTGTCCCCTCCTCCGTAGACTGGTGACCCCGTCCCTGTCCCTCCTCCGCTGACCAGTGACCCCGTCCCCTACGCCGCTGACCAGTGACCTCGTCCCCTCCTCGGCAGACCAGTGCACACAGCGGCAGGAGTCGGGCCGCTGCGACGGCCGACTGGCGAGGTTTGCGTACGACCCGGCGGCCAACCGCTGCCGCCGCTTCACCTACTCGGGCTGCGGCGGTAACCAGAACCGTTCAAGTCGGAGCGCGCGATGCCTGCTGAGCTGCGGCAGCGGCGCCGCCGTCGACAGCCAGGAGGTGTGTCTGCTGCCGCCCGTCGAGGACGGCGCAGTCAACTGCGGGGTCCGCGAGTCCAGGTGAGCGTCGGCCCTCCGGCCAGGCCGCGAGGCAGGGGGGGGGGGGGGCGGAGGCGCTGGCGGGGGGCTGGAGGAGACAGTTAGGGGGCGAGGTGTTTGGCTGGCTAATGGAGCTTTTGAGCGATTAGATGTACCAGAGGGGATGGGAACAGGATGAGGAATGAGAGGTCGGGTGACCGTTGTGAGGTTCTCAGAACTCAGGTACGGGTAGGTCATGTTGAGATGCGGGAGACTGGGCAAGGAGTCGTTCGCCTTCATATCTGAGGAGCTGTTGGTGTAATGATGTACGGTAGCGTCCTGGGAACCGCACGGCAGGAGAGCCTTTGAGACCCTGGGAGACAGGTGAGCAATGGCGACATCGGTCATCAGATGCAACGTTGATATATCGCTCACGTTAACGGCCTGGGTGAACTACTTTCTCGTAACGTTTGTCGAGGCTTTCCCCCATGTCAACCGACGACTTACGGAGCGTTAGTCATCACCCGTGACCCGGTCCGAGTCGAAATAGCCGAGGCACTTGGCATGGTATGGGAACTGAGGCAGGACATCCCACGCCCGGGTCGGCCCACCTGAGTAATGGGTCACAGCGTCTGAGAAGCGCGTCAGAACATCTGAGGAGTAGTCACGGCGTCTGAGGACCGGGTCACGGCGCCTGAGGACCGGGTCTGGACATCCGGGAGCCGCGCGGCCGCACCTGCTGACCTCTGAGAGCTCGACGTAACCGTGAGGCGCCGCCGCCTCCGCTCGGTACCCCGCGCACGGCCCGGCCCGATCGCACCCCCGCCTGCTGGGGAATGGGGAACGGAAGTCGGAGAGGACGAGGGGGTCTCAGCTGCGTGCTGACGGTGCACACCAGCTGCTGACGTCTGACCTTGCAATGTGCACTGTTCTCAAGCACGCCAGGAAAGCGATGTGGGAGGAGAGCATGCTGTATATACACCGGTCATGCCCACCGGGCAGAGGACGTGTTTACCACAGGAGCGCATTACGTATACTCGTCTGCCAACACCAGCCTCACATTCCCTCTCGTGAAAAGAATACAATATACAAGTTCACGCACCGCCGCGCACGACACCACTGGTGCGTGCATTGGCCCACTTCTTCCGGTCCCCCAACTGCAGCATTAAGTGTGGAATTCGAGCAGCGTTAAGCGGCGACACCGGTCGCGCGCCATGTGCCCCCGTGTTTGCTGTCCCGGTCACACGATCAGGTGCAGCGATGACAAGGTCGGCGTGTTGATGTCGCAGGTATTTTTTCGACTCTGCGTTGGGCCCGCTGTGTCTCGTTCACGTTTACGGGATGCGTGCCGACGGAAAACAACTTTCTGAACCTCGCGGACTGCCAGCAGATGTGCCAGGCCGAGGAAATGCCACAGCTCAGTGACAGAGGTAAGGCTTCCGAGCCTACGATGGCAAACAAGCGCGGACATACTCGGTGGTCATTGACTCGCCGCGTGCTGCAGCTGCCGTGCTGTCTTGAATATTGGTCCGCCTCCCAGGATTGTTGTTGACGAGTTTTCTGCAGAATCCACGTAGCATAAGATCTAGTATAACCAGCATCATCTAGAAGTGTCTTCCATAACAGTTGACGGTGAGAGTCGCATCGATCACTGTGACCCCCGATCCCGTGTTGTGCCGTCGTGCGCGGAAGTTGACCACGTGTTGGGCACTCTGTGGGCGGAGACATCACGGCTGAGCATCCGCCCGGTCCGCTCCGTCTCACCACCGTGTTATTGCTGCTTCGAGATACCCAAGAGATGTTCATTCGTGATGCATCGCAGCTCATCCTGGTCATAGGATCGCATGGAGGAGAATGGGTCATTGTTCTTTTGGATCCAAATCCAGTGCATTTCTGCACCATGAGAGGCGCTGCGTTGCTGTGTGTTTGAGCACGAGCCTAAAACAGAAATGTTGAAACCGATAATAGGCACGCTGGTGCTTCATGGGGCCAACCGCTATTTGATTTGAAAGCGTCACAGTCTTCAGATGTCATGACGAAGCTACTGCGTAGGTCGCCTTTGTTTGGATCGTTACGTTTGATTTACAGCTCGACGGTCGGCATGCTCCCGAGCATATCCAAACGATATTTATTCGATTCAACCCTTCCCCCTCCCCCCCCCCCCCCCCCGCCTCACTATGACCCTTCCTCCTCGTGCAGAGGTCTGCGCCCTCGAGCGGGCGCCGGGCTTCTGCCTTGGGCGCTTGCTTCGCTTCTTCTACGACGCCGAGGAGCGTCGCTGCCGGCCGTTCATGTACACCGGCTGCGACGGCAACGCCAACAGCTTCCTCACCTTCCGCGACTGCAGCACCGCGTGCGCCCCACGCCTGCGCTCCCTCCGGTTGGACGAGTCCACTGTCGTGGCCGAGGTGAAGACGCTCATGGACAAGATGGCGGCCAGTGAGATGGGAGGTTCTATCACGCCAGAGCCATGATCGATGGTTTGGGGGAGGGAGTGCGCACAATGCTGTTCTTGTAGGTGAATGCAGTCTGTTTTAAAGGTGAGGCTCAGAACTGTACCGCAATGCATTGTTGCAGCTTTTTGCTTGCATGGGAAGGACACTGACAAGAGTATCGAGAGGTTGATCGTTATGTAGCTTATCATTCCGCTCAATGAAACTCATAGATATGTGTAAATGTGTTCATCCGTGGTTGTGTTCCTGCACAATCTCATTGCGTGTGCATCACCAACAAGGTGTTGTGAATAAACTTTGGTTATCTTGCATCTGGCGCGGTTCGATCTCTGTTCATTTCCTCATCCGCCTCACGTTTGAAGACGCTAACACGCTGCTTGTGATCCCGAGGCAATGCGGTGAAAATGTGCAAGAAGGCCGTGTGTGTTCATTATCTATATTGTAGGTTTGTCATGATATGTCTTGCCGTGGCCCAGCACCTGCACTTATCGGAAAAATAAACGTATTGCGAAGTCCGCCTTGGTCACTTTGAATTTATGTTCACCTACTCGACGGTATCGAGGAAGAACACTGACGGTTTAATGTATATAGTACAGGAACTTAGTTGCAGCTGTAGAAAACATCGTTTCGAATGTTCGCTATAGTAAACATCCTGTACTTTGATTTGAAGCCGTGTACTGCGAAACTTGTCCCCCAGCACCAGACTACACCGTGGGACCGTACACATTTCAGGCCTCAAAACACGGGTGGGGTTCCGAGACGTCATGGCAACGCCTCCGAAGATAAAGAGTCAGAGTTACAAGCAGCACAGTAGATGCGGTAGTTATGCTCGATACATTTTTTTCTCACTGATCTGCGTCCGCATCGTCTCATTACTTCGTTGTATTCTCTATGGGTATTCACCGCGCCTGGACATCGTCCAGAAGAAGCTGAGGACGACGGCAAACCAGTACCAGAACGTCGCTAACAACGCCTCAGAACCGACGAACACCATGAAGTATAGTCAGAGGCCTGTCAGGAAGACATAGACGAGGCCTGTGGTGACGGCTACGCCGTGCAGACTTGTTAAGATCCCATGGCAGGCTAACCATGCCATCACCATGCCGCGCCTCCCTTCAAAGCGCCATGCACCGAGAGGCTGTTGAAGAGCAAATGGGAGGCAAAGACGCTCAAGTTCACGACGCTGACGATCATCAGCGCTCGTTCGCCGTCCGTCTCGTGCCACTCATGTATCATCATTGCAGGGTAGGCGACACGGGTGACGAAGAAGACGAAGGGCGGACAGTAGAGCGTCAGCAGGGTGGTGCCGATGGCGATGCTGCCGTTCCGCAGGTTGAAACAACCGCAGCAGCCCCGCAGGCACATCCTCGCCCCTCGTTACGCTGTCCAGGATCAACAAATTAATCAGAAAAGTTAATGATAGAATGCGGCTGAGTAGCATGTAGTAGTATTTAGTATGATTTGACCCATCTGTAGCCACACTCACAGTTGTTTTACAAATGCATCTGATGCAGTTTGATGAGAACATTGCAATGCCGTTCTCTGCGTGGTCTCAGACTGCTTAGCTTTTGAGATCTCAGGGCGTCTTTTGGGCTCCCTCGTTTGTAGGGTGCGTCTCCGCTCCCCCGTGGGCCCGCTTTTGTGTAGGGAAGATAGGAAAATATTCAGAATGACGAAGACTAAAAATTCGATAGCACGACGATCAAGAACTGTAGCTCGTGTTTGGGAACTGAATAAAAATACGATGGCTGGTTGTGAGGATGTTTGTTGTTCCGTTTTTGCGGATTTTATGTCCTTTACCGGGTAGGTGCATGCTATTTTTCTGTCGTTCATGTTGGAACCCTGTCCGCGCCGTTACCTGTCAGAAAAGCGAGGGCCGAGCCGGGTCACGCCCGGTCACTCACGTTTGAGATTTTATCACCTCTTTTGTTCGACTAGCACTCACTGAAACTACAGATGCGCTGGTCAAATATCTGTCTGCGGCTTACGTCCGCAGGACATCTCCCTGTCAATGAAATGACACAGTGGGCTGTTCATTGCTCAACATCTGTCCGGCCAGCCAGACAACACTGGCAGCCGTGATCAGGCGCAACACGCCGTCGCGTTCATCACCAACGCGCCGAGCCTCCGCGCTCGTCCGTTCAGCATCTGCCCAGCCTGCTCGGTCA